TTTCTGTTTTTGACCATCCCATGGGTAAATGGATTGTATTTTCCTTTGCTCTGGCTCCTCAGCACTCCTGAATATACTTGTCTGTGAAATGTAAGGTACATTGGGTGCAAATCTTTTCATACTTTAAATGATTATGGAATGAAAATAGGCTGGGGAGATTTGATGGGTTGACGAACGTATCAGACAGCACACACACTTTCGGTCATCAATCGGTAGCAACAGTCTAATGTGTAACCTATTCTTGATATTATTTCCTAACCATTAATCAATATTGTCATACGTTATTAAATATTAATAATTTTCCCATATCAAGGGTTAACCAGCAAGGAGCAATCCAATCTTAGTTATCCCATGGCGTTACTTCGTGTAGCCTTGAAGTAGCAACACCAGTATGCCGTAAGTTCCACGGTTTTGGCATGCCATCAACGTATTACCTTTTTGTTTAAGGAGCAAAAGTAGAAGGAGGACGTACCTCACGAGAATTAGCAAAAAGTACTAATTTTTACAGGAGCTCGAACTTTAGGCTTAAATGACAACACCTGAAGTAACACTACAACACTGTCTGCTACAGACAAACTAATTCTGTTATTCTCTATTCCTGGTTGACTAGCAAACTACTAGTCTGATTCAGTCTGTAAGAGCAACAGTGACATTCTCCTGCTAGTTCCGCAAATTTAAACGGCGTTGTTTATTCTAGGTATTTATGTTAGCGTGCAGAGTGATAACCCATTGGTGTCGGTATGGACGGAGACTAATTTGCAATTCAATGCAAGCCGATAATACCCTAATTTACTTGATTATTACTAAGCCTATCTTTATCCCTATGTATATCCTTTTGGAGAGTAGAAAAGTATCATCTGCCGTTGAAAACAAATTCCTCCCGAGATTCGAACTCCAACAGCAAAACTGGACGGAAGATTGATGGCCCCTTCATATAGAGGAACATCATGAATTGTATCACTGTAGAAATAAAGCTACAAGAACTGTCTTATTACAGGACGATATTGTTGTTCAGCGTTGCTTGCCAGTCAGATACGAAAAAAACATAACGCTTTCAGTTGTTGATCCTAATTCATCTGCCAAATTTTACTCTAACCAGCGCGTCCGTTGGAGGTAGATCGCCCTCAGACGTTTCTTGAAAGTTCACATCACTGACCCCTCGATGACTCAGCGCTCACAGAGTGGCCTCAAACCTCACCGTCATTTTGGCATTGCTTATTGACCGAAAACCCTACGAGTGTTTAGACGACCGACCGTTCCCTCACCTCTCCTCTAAAAAGCGGTTGCCGTCAGTAGGCAAGCCGTTGGATGGTCATTAGTGTTTTACGACGCGGGCGTTCGCAGTTGTTTTTCGGCCATCACTGCCGTTTGACATCACGGATGGCTGACTTCCTGCCGTCATTGCGCCTGGACGAGCAAAAAAATGGCCGCCGCACTCGACGGACAATTTCTGAATCAGAGATAATTTTTTCACGCCTATCCGTGCTTATCCGTGTGCGCGAACCGCGTCGTTTAGATATCCTTAATGGCCGTTTTTGCAGACTCGTTTTTCGCCCTCTCGTCATCATCGTCCTCAATACCCACTCGTAAACCGGCCTCAGTGCCTCGTGTCCTTGTTGCTACTGGCGGCTGCACGTGAACAGGAGGAGGTGCAGCAGCTACATGAGGAAACATCTGGTCGGATGTAGGTCCAGATAGATCGGCACTCAAGAACACCCTATTTACTCCAATTTTCTGCTTCGTTAAAATTAATCCCTGAATTCTAATTTAGAAATAAATGAATAAAATTAAACAAGATTATGGCAATAAATGGGAGCGATTAAAATTAAATGGGTTTCCGCGAAAGAGGAACGAATGAAGCATGCAATGTGTAGCGGATTTAGTCTCACGATTAACTGAGAGGTCAGAGCAAAGCATCGACATTTAAGACTACGAAAGTCAGTAAGCATGGCGAGCAAAACGTAATGCGTCAGAACGCTGACTGAATGCTTAGAACGAAATGTGGTGCAATATCGTTATTCTTCTCCCAACAGCCGTCTATCGTTATTCAGCCTCCAGTCCTCAAGGGAAAAGACCGTTTTCAGGACTGCCTCATCGAAATCTTTCGACGTTGTCCGTGATTTGCCATCCATAAGGGCTTTCTCCGTACCATTTCGTTGAAAACAAGTCATGCATTCGGTAGCGATAGTCACTTCCGGTGTTAAAGGATGCAATTGTCTCTCCAAATACAATGAAATATCTCTCCAAATACAATGTCTTAATCAGTATCCAGTAATTTCGCTTTTTGGTCTCTGCGCTTGAAGGATGAGAGTCTTCTTCTTGAATCACCAGGTATTATCAATTAATATTTACCTGGTCTCCGTCAGAGTTTCTACTTTTTCTTGTCGTGAATTTCGTTCTACAGTTCATACCTCCTAACAAACTTTTCATCATTTCCTTCGTCCTAAGTTTTTCGTGAAGTTTACCGTAATGATGAGATATGCGGATTTTTCAGTCAGTACTTCGCAAGCTCCAGGTAACATTTTTTTCGCACTATCTTTGCTTGTGGGGTTGGGGGGGCATAGAGTTGGATATGTTAGAACGTTCGGTTCTTTTGCAGCTGCATATAAACCACTCAGAGGCGTGACGACTTCAGCTGATTGAAAATGACTCTTGAAAGTCATTCCTTGCTGATTATAAAGCGATTCCTGCACGAGTTTGGTGCCATCTCCTTTTCTTAGCTTTAAGATGCTGCCATCGGTCCATTTAATCACTGATTTCTTGCTTATTCGCGTTTCACAGAGAGCGAACACGTTGCCGGTTATAGTGAACTTCTATGACATCAGATGGATAATCGATTCTTCCCCTGAATGTTCTTTTACGTTGTCATTTAAACGACCTCACACCTAAGATTCTTTGCATACTCTCTTCTTATCAGTCGAACTCTGCACCGTTGCCATATGAAAGCCGAAGTATGGCCAGGGAACTAAAATCCAGATCTGTTTACTGTTTTTGTCGTCGTAACAAGCTATGCTCTTGTTGGGCTATTGTACTTGCTTAAACATGACTGACTTCTAGCCTCAGAGGATGGACCTCAGTCCTCTTGTGGGCTGGAGGCCCTGCACCTTGCTAGCGTGGTCGAAACTGCCGGTGAATTCACTCCGCTATCATCGCTGGTAGGCGAGCAGGGAATCTAGTACTTTGCTTTTAGACTGTTTAAATACTGAAGGACAACTTTGCTATGCAACTTTAGATGGCAAGGACGTCAACGAATCACATGCTTTTCCTGATCCTCATCATCTGACCAGAGCTGATCATAGATAGGAGTCCGAGCCGGAGCTACTAGAAAACGATCTTTAAACATAGAAGAATAAGATCAGCGCATGTCTTGGCGGGTATGTTTGACCTCATTGAGTTTTAGACACACGTTTCAAGTAAGGTAAGCAACAATCTTCCTTTGGAGTCATGACCGTTCGTTTTTCATGTTCCTGTTGGCCACAGTAGGAAAAGCAGTACGTGCAGAATAGACACAGTTTCTTTAAAGAAATGGTCATTGCATAGCGTACAGCTGGATCATGTATGAAATAACGCTGCTTTACACCGAACACCTGACTTCTCAGTGAATGAGGAG